TCCTTCCTCTTGAGTTGGACTTACCTGCCTGGCCCCCCAATATTCCCAAATTATCTCGTGTATTTTCTCTTTCATTTGTGTGCGGCTCTGCTTCCAGGTCCTGAACCCTGATCCACGCGGGACGTGGAGGGAAACATTTACCAACATGCAACTCTCTTCCTTTTCCTTCCCCTCTTTTCTCCATCCGTAGGTCTCTGCTGCCATCTCTCTCAGCCTTATTCTGCTATGGAATAATCCTTTCCTCTGGCATTGAGCGTCCAGCCTGTCCATATGGAGACCCTGTTCCTCCCCAGTGTGTGGTCTGACCATGGGAGCATTCGTTTTAAACTGAGAGGAGCATAGGCAGGTGGAAAAACACACACACAAAAAAAACACACCCATGCAGCCTGAGAGTGAGAATCATGGCCAGCAAAGGCGCCATAGCTGGGGGCTGGGGCAGCAGGGGAGAGAGCTCACAAGGAGCATAGGCAGGTGGAAAAACACACACACAAAAAAACACACCCACGCAGGCTGAGAGTGAGAATCATGGCCAGCAAAGGAGCCATGGCTGGGGACTGGGGCAGCAGGAGAGAGAGCTCACAGGGTCTCTGTCACCTGAACCCAGACCCCAGTGGGGTTCCTATCACAGCCCAGCCAGCTCTGTGCCCTGCTCAGAGCCCCCACTGGGAGGAGCAAAGCAGAGCCCATTTCTACCCTAATCTCCAGAAGGATGCACTGTCCACACTGTCTCTTGTAGACATCAGGCTAAGGAGAAAGGGTAGGTGGGACAGCACAGCTTTTAGTGTGAATCAGGCCTGAATTCCAAACCCGAAGACCCATCACCAATGAGCCTGAGCTTCCTTACCTACAGAATGGGAACAATGAGGCCAATCACACAGTCAGTATAATTGCCATTATGTGTGGGTCTGACCTACCGGCTACTCCTGGCACACAGGGTGAATGTTAGCCCTGCCCTTCATTGTTCTGGAAGAGGAGGTTCTCAGAGGCGGCTGGTAGAGTGGTTTTTCAGGAAGAACTTGCAAGTAGCCACAGGTACAGCTGAGCCTGCCCAGGATTCTTCCTGGGCCCACGAGGCCGGAGGAGGCCGCTGAATGCCCAGGTGCAGCGTGGGAGGGGGTTTCCTTCCCAGTGGAAAACTCAGATCCACCGTGATGACTCAGGCTGGGGGCTGAGGCCCCCTCCATCATCAGCATTTCATACCTCATGGGCAAAGTCTCACCCGAGGGGGTTTCCTTCCCAGTGGAAAACTCAGATCCACCTTGATGACTCAGGCTCGGGGGCTGAGGCCCCCTCCATCATCAGCATTTCATACGTCATGGGCAAAGTCTCACCTTTAGGGCTTTATTCTGTCTGAAAACAGTCAACTCAGTTATGATCCCAAATGTAGAAAGCCCAGTGGCATATATTATTCAACGCTTCTGTCGTCATTTATGGCTAAGACTTCTCCTCCCGTAGTTCCCACCCGCAGGTGGGCTGGCTGTGGTGAGAGGAGGGGATGCTGTCAGCTTGTTTCCTGTCTCTCTCACCTGGTCAGGCTGACGCTGGGCGCTGTGGTGCTGAGCAAGAAGTCAAGGGCAGGAATGTGCCTGCTAGACGAGACCACTCCTGAGATGGCTCTGGCGCGTGGGTCTCCCACCCTCAGCTGACCTTCCCTGTGGGATCTCTGGTGGGGCAGTGAGGACTCCCTCAGCCAGGGGAGCCCCGCCCCTGGCCCAGCCCAGCCTGTGCCTCAGCACTGCAGCCCCGCCCATTCTTCCATAGCCCCCAGGAATCCAGCGGCTCAGGGCTAGGTTCTGCCAGCTGAGGCCCAAGCCCCCTCTGGACAGCCCATTGGACAAGATCTAAGAAGAACCCCACCCTGTCTTTTCCATGCATGTGGCTCACATCTAGTCCACACACCTCCCCCCGAAAAAAAAAAAGTCCACACATTCTTTGCCCAACCCAGGTGCAGCCCAACCCCAAAGCACCAGCTCCCCTGGGAAGCAGCGAGTCAGCCCCAGCTCCCACCCCCTACCTACTCCAGGCTGAGTCAGCCCCGGTCCTCAGTGACCCCAACTGGGGGGATGCTCACCAAGCTCTCCAAAGCCCCTCTGCCCAAAACTATCTTGGGCAACCAGCCCTCACACTCTCTCCCTTTTCCGTTGGGAAAAAACACAAGGATTTTACCCGAATAAATGTTTACAAAAGTCTTCCATATCCCCCGTATAGAGCCTCTAGAATTGTTAGTCTAGCTCTTAGCACTTCCTGTGCAGATCTGCTGCTCACTTTTCAATTTTTATGTTATTGTATCTTGGCAGAAACTTCTGGTTTACTGACCTGTTACACTGCTGTTATACTCTTTTTTTAATGTATTTTTTATTGTTGATAGTATTACAGATAGCTCCCCACCCCTAACCTTTACCCCTCACCGCCCAGCCTCTACCACCCCTCAGGCCTTCACCACCCTATTGCCCTTATCCATGGACTATGCAGATAAATATATAAGTTCTTTGGTTTATCTCTTCTCATCCCCCCAACCCCACATAGTCTGTTCCATACCTCCATGCTTCGGTTCTTATTTTGTTGGTCAATTCATTTTGTTCATTAGATTCCACAAATGAGTGAGATCATGTGATATTTGTCTTTCTCTGACTGACTTATTTCACTTAGCATGGTGCCCTCCCAGGTTCCTCCATGCTGTCCCAAAGGGTGAGAGATCTCTCTTTTTTACAGCTGCATAGTATTCCATGGTGTAAATGTACCACAGCTTTTTTATCCACTCATCTACTGATGGGCCCTTGGGTTGTTTCCAAATCTGTTGAACGCTTTTTTAAGGCCTGGCTCAAAGGAACCCCTTCCCTCTAAGCCCTGCCCAACCTCCTCACATGGTCTGTTGTCTCCTCCTCTGAGCTCCCAGCTAAGGACAGGGGTGGGTGAACATGCTGAAGGTGCCTGTCCGTGTGCCATCTGGCTCTCCCTGCTAGGCTGGGCCTTGCTCATGTCGGCATCTCTGCCTCACAGAGAAGGGGGCCACAGGGACTCACCCAAAGTAAGAATGACAAGGTGATCGACCCTTCAGTCTCGGGAGCTCTCAGAGAGGGTCTCCTGGATAAATGAGGCCTCTTTGCTGAATGCCAGCACCTACCTAAAATGTTAGACCATTTGGAATGAAATGCTCCTCCTGGATTTCACAATGTGTGCCTTCTCAATAGAAGTCCCTGATGGTCATACTAATGTTTCCTCGGTGACTCTGGTCAATGCATTTAAATCCTCAGCTGCTACCCATGAATGCCCTTTGCTGAGAGTTGATGGAGCTTAATTTATAGGTCTGCCCGCCCCATTTGTCCTGTCTTTTGCATCAGTCTTCCTGTGTTCCTGGTTTTAATGATGCTCTTGCACATCGGTTGGCCATCACAGCCACTCTCCTGCTGTACCTCCAGCCCTGCCCACCTCTGACAGTCCCTTTCTGCTGTTGACTGTTGCTAGTTTGCAACAACAGAGAAGCCTTGAGTGGGGGCTCTGGGCTCACTGATATAGCAAGGCCTTGGGCTCTGGGCATAGGCTTCATAATAATCTAGTCCTACTATGTCAATGCCTTTTCTGCTCTCTCCTGGCACTTCCTGGGCTCTGGATACTAAACTGCCTGGCTAGCTAACAGATTGGTGGCTGCTGTGGGCCCAAACCTGCTGGCCTAGGGGAGAGAAGTGCAGGGGGTGGGGCTTAGCCTCAGGCATCTGGAGGATGGGGTTGGGGGACAGTGTATGTGGGCAGTGGAACCCTGAGGGCCAGGATGGCCCTCCCTTGGTGTGTGTAGGGGGGCATAGGAGGAAGTCACTCACTGGCACTGAGAGGTGGGGAGGGCGTAGGCCATGCTGACCGAGGACACAAGCTCAGAGTCCCTTAGCAACCGGCCCACCATCACCCTGAAGGTCACTGAGCCCCGCAGCTGGGACTGGAAAGTGGCCGCTGGGGTCACAGGCAGATGGTGTCCCCTGGGCGCAGGGTGCTCTGTGTTCTTTTCAGGAGCGCTCCTTTGTCCCAGTGCGGGCAGGAGCGTGGGCCGAGCTGTGAATTCTGCCCATATTCCTGGCTTCAGGGCCCTGCACTGTAACAAAAGGGAAGGTGACCCCTGGCTGGGCTGGAGGCAGGAGCAGGTGAGGGGGATGCTTTGCAAGGGTAACAGCAGGCTCCTTCCTCTCTGGTCTCCACCCACTGGGCAGAAGGAAAGTTGCATATAGGTGACCAAGAACCTGGATCAAGTCCAGCTCTGTCTGCCTTTACGTCCCTGAGTGACCCTCCCCTCCCTGGGCCTCTGTTTCCCCTCCACACAAGCAAGAGCTGGAACACTTGACTTCTGAAGGGCCTCCCAGCTGCAGGGTTCCAAGACTCTGCTCCTCTCCTTCTCCTCCTCTTTCTCTTCCTCCCCTCCTTGTCCTCCTCCTCCTCCTCTTCTCCCCATGGGGGGTGAGAGAGAGTTTGTGCCTTGGTGCATGTGCCTGTGTGTGCCTGCCTATACCTGTGTGTGCCTCTGCGTGTGTGTGTGTGTGTGTGTGTGTGTGTGTGTGTGTGTAGTGGGGCAGGAAGAGAAGAGTGAGAGGAAGGGGGAAAGGGAGAGGAGGGAGAGAGGGAGGGGGAGTGGGAGAGAGCCCACAGAGGGGAAAGGGTGGCTAGGATTTACCTGCCAGTGGGGCTGGGCTTTCTCAGCAGCTGATGGCACTGAGCTGTTTAATCATTAAAGGAAAGGAATGAAGCCAGGAGCGCCTCAAAGTCCAGCCGGGTGGTGAGCGGCTCTCACCGAGGAGCATGGAGCTGGCAGCGCCAGGGCTCGGAGCTTCAGGAAATGGGGTCAGGACTGCGGCAGCTCGGAGCTCGGCACCAGGCCCCGGGGCCAGCCTACACGCCTATGACATCGGGGTCCTGGTCGTCTATTTCATCTTCGTTGTGGGCGTGGGGGTCTGGGTGAGTAGTTGTGGAGGTTGGGAGCCGGCAGGGGAGGCAGAGCCACACTCTCATCTCCGGCTGGCCGGGAGCTGGGGCAGGGCTGGGCAGAGGAAGGGGTGGGAGTGGAAGGGTCTCATCGGCCCCCCTGTCATAGGCGGCAGACTGGAGCCGGAGAAGGGTGTGACTGGCCTGAGGTCACACAGCGAGCCAGAGGCAGGCCAGGCCTGAGCCCCTCTCCTGACTGCCTGACTCTGTGCACCTGCTGCCTTGGCCCCACCCTCCCCTGGCCACCCTGATCCCATTCCTTCCCGCCTCGCCAAGCTGAGATGCCCAACTCCCCGGATGCTTTACTCCTGGCCTACCCCACCCTCCACTGGTTAGTGTTGGGCAAGGAGCTGAGCTTTCTAAAGGAGCCGGGCTCCTGTGCTCACGGGAAGGGAGCCAGGCGGACCCCAAGATCCTTCTGTGGTCCATTGTCCCCCTGAGCCTCAGTGCCATAGAGAGGCAGGCTCTGAGGCCAGCGAGCCCTGAGCTCACACCCCAGCTCCCGCATCCCCGCGTGCCCTGGGAACCTCCGAAGCATCTCTGAGTCTCCGTTTATCATCTGGACAATGAGAATAAGGACCGCAGCACAGAGCGGGCACGGCCCTTCCGTGACATCTGGCTCAGGGCCGGGCACACAGGGCAGCCATAAAGGGCTGCTGTCATCACGGAAGTATTGGAGAGAAATGCCGGAACCTTTAGACTCTGCTGCGAGGCTGACAGTGCCTGGAGCCCCAGCTGGTCACTGACGAGGCTGTGGCGAGGGCAGGATCCCTCTCTGGTCCTTGGTTTCCTCGTCTGTAAAGTGGTGAACAGTCCCTGCCTCCCAGGGCTGGTGTGAGGAAGAACAGGCCACACAGATGACCCCTGGCTCAGCAGGGGGGGGGGGCGTGGGGAGAAGCACCAGCTCCATGGAGGCTGGACAGGTGGCTCCCTGACTTGGGCCTCCTGATTAATGTGTGAAATTAGTGTTTTCTGCTCACCTGGCCTCCCCGAGGACCAGAGGTGACACTGGGACATTTGAGGAAGGGTCGAACAGTCACCAGCCCTGCACAGCCCATCGCTGCCCTGTGGCTGATCAATGACGTTTCCTCCAGAGACAGAAGCGTCTTTACATCTCCCTTTCCTGCCTCCCCTTCAGTGCTTCTCCCTCCAGACCCAGTCAGAGGCCTGGCAGCATCTTAATAACAGCTTTGCACTTCCCCTCCCCAGTGAGGAGTCCCGGGGGGAGGAGGGGACAGGTCGGTCTCCCTGTAGCGATGGACTGAGGCACCAGCTCAATTTCTGAAACACAGCTCGGACGGAGGGGAGGGAGGGCACCAGGGTGCACGGTAGCAATCATCTGTAGGCGCATGCAGCTCTGTGCCATGGCGGGGGCTGCGTACCCCCACTGGCTCCTGGCTCTTCACACTGGTTCTGAGAGACATGCACGGAGGCTCAGAGAGAGGCTCAGACCACCCAACAGCGCCTGGAATAAAGATGATGAAAACCTGCCTCAGTTCTCCCCTCTGTGTCCACAGAGCCTGGGCCGAGGGCAGGGAGTCTGGGTGAGGGCAGAGGCTGAGGAATCTCGGGAAACCCTCACCTCTGGCCACTTCCTTTCCAGTCGTCCTTCCGAGCAAGCCGAGGCACCATTGGCGGCTACTTCCTGGCGGGGAGGTCCATGACCTGGTGGCCGGTGAGTTGACCTTCTTCCCTCCCCTTCTCCCCCATCCAAGTCCCCTTTTCATCTCCCACCTGTTCCCAGGAAACAGCCCCAGGTGGGTTTCCTGGCTCTGGGCTCCTTCTCTCCAGTCCCAGTGCACCTGCCACCTGAGCAACCTTGCTCTGGACACCTCCGACAAGCACCCACTGGCGCCCTCTCATGGCCGCAGGCTGGACCTACAGGGAGATGGTCCACAATGTTGTCCTAGAAAGCAGGGTGGCACTGGGCAGACGGACTCACAGACAGCATGACTGCTGAGCTGGAGGGATGGGGGGCAGTGTGGAGGGCTCGTGGGGGCTCGCAGGAAGCCTCCGACCTCCAGACAGTGGGAGTGGGACCAGCAAAGATTTTCTTGAGAAGGTGACACATCAGCTTATTACTAAAAAGCAGGTAAATGAGGGAAATCATAGAGGTAAATCCCCCAGCAGCCTCCGGGAGCTGATCCTGAGACCCTTATGACCCAGGCTCCCCATCAGCTGTGTTCTTTCTCCTCCGTTTCCCCTTCCTACTCCCTGGGGGCCCTTAGGTCCATGGCCTGAGTCAGCGCTTCATCCTCCCTGTGTGGACCTGCTCCCTGTGGCTTCCTTCTTTCCCACTTAGCTACTCCCATTGGGTGGCCTGGAGCCACTGTCTATTCTTCCTAACATTATTTCCTTTCTTTGTAAGTTGGAAAGATTAATACTCATCCCTGCAAATCTTTGTGGAGATCAAGTGATTAGCACACAAAATACACGCAGTGCCTCGCACGGCGCCTGGCATACAGCAGGCCCCCACTAGCTGTCAGTTCCATCCCTCTTTCTCTTTGCTCCCCATTTCCTCTCCTCCCCCTGATCTCAGATTCCATGAGTCCAGGTCCTCTCTCCCCGCCACGTCCCAGCTCCTGAAACTCATGGGAGACTCCAGGTTGAATCAGATGAAAACTGACTTCTGATTCTTGACCCACCTGTGCCTTGCAGATCGGAGCATCTCTGATGTCCAGCAATGTGGGCAGCGGCCTGTTCATCGGCCTGGCTGGGACGGGCGCTGCCGGAGGCCTTGCTGTGGGCGGCTTCGAATGGAACGTAAGGAAGCTGGCCCGGGGGCTTCTCGGGGATACTGGGGGTCTGAACCCACCCCCCACCCCTGGCCTTAGCCCTGAGAGGACCCTCAGATGTGCTTGGGGGGAACCCATTTTATGGATGAAGAAACCAAGACCCGGAGGAGATAGAGGGACCATTGGCGGTCACACAGGACTGAGATCAGTCCCGGGTCCCTTACCTCCTGCCCAGGGCTGTCCTCCGCATGGCGCCACCTCTCCGTAGGGGACACTCGTCCATTTGCATCCAGGACATGAACACCAATTTCTCTCCACTCTCCCAGGCAACCTGGCTGCTGCTGGCCCTCGGCTGGGTCTTCGTCCCTGTGTACATCGCAGCCGGCGTGGTCACGATGCCGCAATACCTGCAGAAGCGATTTGGGGGCCAGAGGATCCAGGTGTACATGTCTGTGCTGTCTCTCATCCTCTACATCTTCACCAAGATTTCGGTGAGTACACTGCAGTGTGGCCACCCAGTCTCTGAAAATGCAGAGCACCGGGCATGGCTTATTGCTGGATGGACGGATGGATGGATGGAAGGGAGGATGGGAGAAAGGAAGAATGAATCCATGTACCTTCAGCGCATTCTCTCCCTCAGTGGTAGGTAGTCAGAGATGGATGATGTTTGTTGAGTGAATGACAGTCCCTCCATTCAAAGACCTCACAATCTAGAGTTCATTCATCCCTTCTTTCATCTTTCTATCCCTGATTCTTCATTCAGCACCATGCATTAGTTGCCTAGAATGTTACGAATACAGGTCCTTATTCTTTCTCCATTGACCTAACCTTAGAAAACAAAACTGCGTCACATGATTTGCCCAGAGGGCCAGCTCTGGGACTGGAACTGAGGCTGGGGTCATGTGACCCATCCATGTGTCCTGCCGTCCACCATGTTGTAGCCCTGTAACGGGTTCATAAAAGTCATGGACTGGAACCGCCTCTGCTCTGACACCTCCATGGTGGCTCAGCGCCTGCACGGCCCACCTCACCCGCTGAAGTCTTGTCCTCACGGTGTGAGGAGGGCTGACAGCAGCTGGTACTGCTGAGAGGGAAGGTGACACCCTGGGGCCATACCTGGTGACCTCCCGGTCATGTCTCTGCAGACTGACATCTTCTCTGGAGCCCTCTTCATCCAGATGGCCTTGGGCTGGAACCTGTACCTCTCCACGGTGGCCTTGCTGGTGGTGACAGCCGTCTACACCATCGCTGGTAGGGCCCGGGGAAGGTCACCTCAGGGTGCAGGGCTGGAGCGGAGACATAGAGGCAGGGAGAGGAGGAGAGGGAAGCCCGGGGCCACCAGGATACAGTGGGAAGAGCTGGAGGAGAGAGATGTCAGAGGGAGGGGCAGAGAACCAGAAACAGGAAGAGCCAAAGACAGAGACAGACAGAGAGGTAGGATCAAGGGAAAACGCAGAAGAAGTGACGAGAGGCACAGTGACCAGAAAAAGGGGACACACAAGGGCAGGAACAGGAGGCAAGAGCCAGCCCCAGGAGGCAGGAAGGAGAGGCCCTGAGAGATCCTGAGAGACCCTTCGTACCAGGAGCAGGGCAGGGATGAGGGGACCGTCACGTGGACCAGACTGCAGGCTGCTTCAGACTAAAGCCACAAAGCCCCTCCTGCAGCGCACCAGCACAGGCCCGGCTCCTGGGACACGGGGGGTCAGTGGGCCTGGGCGGACGGGGGTGTAAGTGGGCATCCAGGTCGGGGAGGGGCGTCCTGGCAGAGTTACCAGCTCACAAAGGGATAGACTCAGGATATCAAAGAGGCTCTGGCCAGGCAGCTGGGTAGAGGCTGTTGATGGGAAGAGCTGGGCCCGAGCACCTGTGACTGACCGGCCTCCCCCGGGCAGGTGGGGCGGAGGGGAGCCCACCTGCTAAGAGGGCTCGGTGTCCTCTCTGGTCTCCCCAGGGTGGCACGCGCAGGGCGGGCGCAGAGAGGAAACCTTGGTGCTGACTGATGAGCCCTCTCCTTGGGTCCCCAGGGGGCCTCACAGCCGTGATCTACACGGACGCTCTGCAGACGGTCATCATGGTGGGGGGAGCCCTGGTCCTCATGTTTCTGGGTAAGGAGAACTGAATACACCCCACCTTGCCCCTAAGTCCCTCTCTCAGCCAGTGTGACTCCTGTCACCTCCGTGGTTTGATCAGGACTTCCTGGGGTACGGAGCCATACCCGCCTCAGGGCCGGGGACATGCTCTCTATGCCAAACCAGTGGAGCCCCACAGCCCTCCCGCATTTCCACATCTCGGGCCAGTTCCAAGCCCAGGGACTCCACTCGGCACTGGGAGCTGGGGGGCATGTGACAGGCTCAGAGGGGCTCAGGGCTGCTTCACTCACTGAGGTCTCCCCCCACAGGCTTCAAGGAGGTGGGCTGGTACCCGGGCCTGGAGCAGCGGTACCAGCAGGCCATCCCCAATGTCACAGTCCCCAACACCACCTGCCACCTCCCCCGGCCTGACGCCTTCCACATGCTTCGGGACCCTGTGAGCGGGGACATCCCTTGGCCAGGCCTCATTTTCGGGCTCACGGTGCTGGCCACCTGGTGCTGGTGCACGGACCAGGTGATGCCCCAGCCAGGCGGGCCCCGCCCTCCGTGAACTGGGGTGGCTCCTGCTGGAAAATGGGTATCTGGATGCAGGGGGTTGGGACTTGTTCTGGGACCACCGCAGGGGCACAGGCAGTGACCACGTCAGAGCCCACCTGTGGCCTCCGCTGGTGCCTTTCAGGTCATTGTGCAGAGGTCTCTCTCCGCCAAGAGTCTGTCCCACGCCAAGGGAGGCTCCGTGCTGGGCGGCTACCTCAAGATCCTGCCCATGTTCTTCATCGTCATGCCCGGCATGATCAGCCGGGCCCTGTACCCAGGTGAGAGCTGGAGCAGGCAGGGGCTGCACAGTCCTTAATAAGAACATGGAGTAGTGCCCGGCCAGTGTGGCTCAGTTGGATGAGCATTGTCCTGTGCACCAAAAGGTTGCCGATTGGATTCCCGGGCAGGACACATACCTGGATTGTGGGTTCGATCCCCTATTGGGCCACATACAGAAGGCAACTGATTGATGGATTAAAACAAACAAACAAAAAAGAACATAGTAGTATGTTAACCTTTGTTAACATACATACAGTAACTATGTAAATAGTTCAAACATACAATAACTACTTCAGTAGAAAAATTTGCATCTGAATGTCATTTTAAATCCTGCCTTTTCTTTATAAGGGAAAGACCAGTAAAGTGTTCTTGGTGCCTTCCAAGGATATTTGCCTTTTATCAGGATACTAGAGGCTCAATGCATGAAATTCATGCAAGAGTAGGCCTTCCTTTCCCCAGCTGCTGGCACTGGCTTCCCTCTGGCACCCGGGCCCTGGGCTTCCCTCACAGCCCCAGCTTCATCTGGAAGGTCGTCCAGAAGGACAGCTGGTCTAATTAGCATATTATGCTTTTATTATTATAGAGAAAGCCTAAAGCTAATGAGTCTACAAGCTTTGTGGGTAGTATATGGCAGAGAAAGTTACCATAGTAAATCCTGGTACCCAGTCAGCCACCTGCCCTTTGACCCTCAGGCCCAGCACAGTCCCCAGTGGACACTTCCCGGTGGCATCAGAAAGCAAATACTGGGCCATCCCGAGAAGGCCCTAGATTATCCGTCTCTAACTGCCATCACCTCTTGTGCAGATGAGGTGGGCTGCGTGGACCCTGACGTCTGCCAGAGAGTCTGCGGGGCCCGAGTGGGATGCTCCAACATCGCCTACCCCAAGCTGGTCATAGCTCTCATGCCCATTGGTGAGTCCCGTGTCATCGGCCACCAGTCACTCCCACCGCCAGCCGCCTCCAATTGCCACTGCCCAGGAGGGGTTGCATTCAGGATGGACATGGGCAGGGAGAGGGAATAAAAACATTCACATCCCCATCCCCTCCCAGTAGACACACACACACACACACACACACACACACGTGTCCATGAGACACTGCTCTGTGCCCTGGTCCCTGAGATGCAGGGATAAAGGGCAGGGCCCTACTCTCAGGCTCCACGCAGTCCCCAGGGTACTCAGGGTATAGAGGCCACAATACAGTGTGACCAGTGTGGGGACACGGTGGGGCTGGGGGAGCCCTCAGGAGCACCTGGCTCACTTTGGGGGAGTGTAGGGCCCGTTTCTCAGAGGACAGGAAATGGAATTGAGGCCTGAGGAGCACCTCAGGCAGAGCTGGAGGGCGTGTCATCCAGAAGGAGGGGCTGCACATGCAAAGGCCCGAGGCTGGGAAAGAGAGCATGAGGTCTGGGCTGAAGGTGGCCCATATGGGCTCAGATGCAGGAGGACTGGAGACAAGCATCATGGAGAGGAGTTGGCGGCCACACCTAGAGCAATGGATGTCAGGGGAGGGGGGTTTTAGGCCAGCATCCACAATTGCATTTGTGCTTTGGGGGACCAATCTGCCTGGGGTTCAGCTTAGGGGCAGCAGGGGGATGATTTAAAAGGGGTCTTCAGTGGTCCTGGTGAGGGGTGATGGTGGCTAGGACCAGGTTGGTGTCTTTAGCGATGGAGAAAAGAGGTTTAAAAGATATACATGAGGCAGAATTGGCAGGACTTGATGACTGGTTGTATTTGAGGGACAAGAAAGACAGAGGGACTCAAAGGGGACATGGGAGAAAGGCAAGTTTATGAAGGGAAGTAGGTGAGTTGAGTTACCCCTCCCCTCACCACCAGTAGAATAAGAAATGAATCAAAGAAATAGTGGAGAAAAGGAGGCGGGGGAGGCCCAGCAATGACAGAGCAGCCGCAGAAGGAGGTGGGTGGGAGGGGAGCCCAGGAGGGGTCTGGGATACCTCTGAGGGAGGAGTCTGATGTGGAGACTAGAAAGATATCCTATATAATAAAGAGGTAATATGCAAATTAACCCTCATGCCATCATAAGATGGCTGCGCCCACAGCAGAGGTGGGGTTCTTGTAACAAGCCATAACAAGTGATCATCAGGGACTTGAGGCTGTGTGGCACCGGGCTGGGGCGGGGACCTGACGCTGCACCCCCCCGCCTGGCGGGGCTTGACAGGGGTGGGGCCGGCCAGGTCTCAATCTCGCCCAATGGGGGTGTGGCCGGCTGGGTCTGGGTCTCATGTGATTTTGAGGCACACGCGGGTGGGCGGGGACTTGACTCTGGTTCCCATGGCGCGCCCCAGACTCTGACAGGAGGAAGATTTTCATATACATTTTACTAATTTTCTTTCACCTCTGACATTTCTATTATAGAGAAAGGGCAAATAGCAATATTAAAATATTTGCTCTAATTAATTCCCTTTTAATGTGCATGGATTTCATGCACCGGGCCACTAAATATTAATAAAAGGAAGAATCAACGCCCCAGAGGCAGATGCTGGCCTCGGTGTGGGATGCCTTGAGTCTTCCAGGGAGACATGCAGGTGGTGGCTAAAGATTTGGACTGAGGACGGGAGGGGCCAGAGGTGGGACCGGGTGGGGGGTCCCTCCCTGGGGTGAGCAGTCATTTTCCTGGAGGCTTGGTCATGAGAGGCAGAGACTTCAGGGATCAGCGGAGCCAACCTCTTGCTGCAGGAGGAAAAATTGGCCCTAAGGTGAAGGACTCCCTTAGTTCAAAGATCACACAGCTGGTTGCCTGCAGAACCAGGAAACAAGCCTGGGCTTCTGCTTCCAGGCCAGGGCTTTGCCTGGCGCCAATTCAATGAAAAAGGAAAACACTGAAAACGTTTAGTAACGTCACCTTCTCCCCACCAGCGACCACTAGCAAGTGTCTGCCAGCTCTGACACCCACACGAGATGTCAGGGCTGTCACACCCCTTCCTGGGGAGGTTCAGGGAGGGCCCTGGCTCCCCCAAGGCCACAGAGCAGGCAGTGGCAGGGCGGGGCCAGAGCCCAGTGCCCAGCCCCGGATTCCTTATCTGCCTGTGCGAACCTCAGCGGACACCTTCCCCATCCCACTTCCACCCCAGACTCCTGGCTCTGCAGGCGCTGCAGCCTCCATGGTGCCCGGCAGGGCCTTCACGGTCAGTTGTCCACAGAGACTTCATCTCTCCCCAGGTCTGCGGGGCCTGATGATCGCCGTGATCATGGCTGCCCTCATGAGCTCGCTCACCTCCATCTTCAACAGCAGCAGCACACTGTTCGCCATTGACGTGTGGCAGCGCTTCCGCAAGAAGGCAACGGAGCAGGAGCTGATGGTGGTGGGCAGGTGCGCTGGCCCGTCCGTGGGCGCCCCTTCCTGCAGGCAGACCCTCTCCCCTCTGCTCCCTGCCTGGGTTGCCCTGGGAGGTGTGGCTGGGTTGGGTCCAGGACTGGCAGTCAGAGCGCCTAATTCTAGCACCAGCTTCCTCCCTGACCTCAGGTAAGTCCCTCCTGGCTCTGGGCCCCTCCTCCCCGTCCAGAACAAGGAGAAAAAAACTCTCTTCCCTACTGTTCAGCTTTCTCTTGCAATTGATCAACAGGGTCAATGAGAAGCTGACAAAGACTTAAACAGTGAAAGGTGAACTGTATAAATGGGAGGAAGCTAGCAAGCGGCTCACCCTCCAGGTCTTTCGGACCAGCTGCTATCCCAGGATATCAGAAAGGCCTTAACTTACTCCATCAGTCTCACCCAGAGCATCCCCCTTGGGTCATGCCTTTGTGCTGGGGACACAGGGAGGACTTGTATGGCCCTGCCCTGAGGATGGAAGAGTTTAATGAGAAAGGCAGAAACACGGGCAGTGCAATGAGGGACCTGCATCAGTAAAGTCATTTGTACGAAGTTTGTCTCCAAAGAAGGCAGAGCCTCCAACACCAGGCTAAAGAGTTTGCATTTACCTTGTTGGAATCAGTTTCATGCTTTTCAGAGTATAATGGTGGCTAATTTTTCTTTGTCGCCCCAGGCTGGGGATTTGTAGTTTACATGGAGTTAAGGGGCCCTTTCTGAAATCTGTGCTTCATAACTTAAGGCTCCATAAATAACTCAGGTTACTGGACTAACGTGTTCATTCCTCCCTTTGTTAAGATGGTCTTTGAGTTTAGATAACTTGCTTTTTTCCATCTCCCTGCCTTTACATGCACTATTCCTTCCACCACAGTGCCTTCTGCCCACAGCTGCCTAATAGAGTCCCACTGCCTGCTTGCTCATAGGTTTTGCATGCAGGACAGATGGTGCAGGCGAGGATGAGCAGGAGGGCGGTCACTTGAGTAACTGCTGCTTTAGTGGGGGCCTGAGAAAGAGAAAATGTGAAAAAAGAAGAGGAAAGGATTGGTGTGCTGAGAGATTTCTAAAAGAGGGTCATTTGATATTTGCACACTAAACTACCAGGTTGTTATTTAGACACTTATTTCATCAACCAGTGGGGTTCTGGTACCATCTGCTGGCCATATGCATTATTGCACTCAGCACATCCAAGAAAAGTTTTTCATCAACCTGGTCACACACCTGCAAAATCATGCATGGAGTGCATTTTGAGGACCTGGGCCTGAGCCTGGATCAGTTGTGGGGGAGTCAGGATATGAAAGTGGAGTCTCTTTTCTGAGCCAACTGGCAACATGAGGAGGAGACACTTAGAGTTGGAGAAGCTTAGAGAAGGAAGAAGTCACCGGAGTCTGGAGCCATCCTGGAGAAGGGGGCTGCTCTGCACAGGATTTGATGAAAAAGAGAAAGAAAGGCATCCCCAGCAAAGATCCAGAGGTCATTTACTGAGGTGGGTGGTGGGGTGAAAAGTATGGATTCCTCTCTGAAGAGCGGGTCTATTTAAAAAGCCTTGACCTCTTAGGTCCTAGAATTCTGATATTCTGGGATTTCAAGAGTCTAAATTTCTGGACTCTCATCCTTTGGAATTCTAGTCCCTAACATTCTCTGATTCAACAAGAATGCATTCCCCCCCCTCTCTCTTCCTGGCTCCCAAGCATCACCTTCACCCCACCCCACGCTCTGCCACCCCGAGGGCTCCTCACAGCACCCTGTGCCCTCCTGGCAGAGTGTTTGTGGTGTTCCTGGTCGTCATCAGCATCCTCTGGATCCCCATCATCCAAAGCTCCAACAGTGGCCAGCTCTTCGACTACATCCAGTCTATCACCAGCTACCTGGCTCCACCCGTCACTGCCCTCTTCCTGCTGGCCATCTTCTGCAAGAGGATCACAGAGCCTGTGAGTACAGCAGTTCACTACACGTTAGGAGAGCTGGTCTGGCCTAACCTGGCCTCTCTGTGACCTTGCACAAACCAACTGCCCCCTCCCCACCCATAGCATCTGGTCTAGATTCATTCATTCACTCAGTAAACATTTATCAATCTTGATGTTTCTCTATTTCTTCTCATTACAGCAGTCCCTTTAGCATTTTTTGTAATGCTGGCTTGGTGGTGATTAACTCCTTTAGCCTTTTTTTTTTCTTTTGTCTGGGAAGCTCTTTATTTCACCATCTATTTTGAATGATAGCCCTGCTGGATAGAGTAATCTTGATTTCAGATCATTGCTTTCCGTTACCTTGAGTACTTCATGCCATTCCCTTCTGACCTGTAGAGTTTCTGATGAGAAATCAGCTGACAGCCTTATGGGAGCTCCTTTGTAGGTAACAAATTGCGTTTCTCTTGCTGCCTTTAAGATTCTCTCTTTGTCTTATGTTTTTGGCATTTTAATTATGATGTATCTGGGTGTGGGCCTATTTGGGTTCTTCTTGCTTGGGACTCTCTGTTTCTCCTGAACTTGTGTGACTTTTTCCTTCACTGGGTTAGGGAAGTTTTCTATTACTAGCTCCCTATCTTCCTCTTCTGATACACCTATTATATGAATATTGTTACATTTCATGTTGTCCCACAACTCCCTTAAGCTGTTCTCCTGGTTTTTCATTATTTTTTCTTTTTGGTTCTCTGATTGAGTGATTTTTTTTCTACCCTGTCTTCTAATTCACTGATCTGATCCTCAGCTTCCCCTAATCTTCTGTGTAGTCCTTTTAATGTGTTATTAGTGCTATATCATTCTTCATTTCCGACTGTTCTTTTTGCATAGTCACTATATGTTTTCTCATGCTATTGAGTATCTTTACAATCATGATTCTGAACTCGATATCATATAAACTTCTTATCTCCATTTCATTTATCTCCTCTTCTGGAGAATTCTTATTTTCTTTCATTTGAGGGTTGTTCTTTTGGTCTCCCCATTTTGGCTGCTTATTTGGGTTTGTGGCTGTATACTAGGTAGATCTGCTCTCAATCTCTAGTGCAGGATATTATCAAACACTGTTTCTGACTAATTAGATCAGGCAAAGATGCAAAGCCTCCAGAGACCCACCTCTGCCTACAGACTGATTGCATTTGGTCTTGAGTAGCCCTCAGGCAATCATCCACAGGTGTGGAAAGAGGTTTTCCAACAGTGTGGGGCAATTGCTTCTGCCTGGAGGCTAATTGTTATTCTCAATCTCTTAATGGGCCTCAGAAACTCCACTCTGTGGGACAAGGCGTTTTCCAATAGAATGAGTCAACTGCCTTCCCCCGAGGCAAAAACCACCTGCATAGCAAAGGTCTGCCTGAGAAAGATGACCTCCCCAGCATGAGGGAATGATTCAGCACAGGAACCCAGGGTGTCTGCTTTCTGAGCTCTAGCCCCAGAGCCCCCAACCCTGGCTTCTACTTACAGTTTCAGTCCACTCTGCCCTTCCTCTGCTGAAGCACAAAGAGAGTGGCTTCACGTAAAATTTTGTGCATTGACCCTTTAAGAAAATGCCTGAATATCCAGCTGTCACTCCCTGGCAGAAAGCAACCCTGCTGCTTTTCACAGCCAGGTGTTTTGTGGGCACCTTTCTCAGTTCTGGTGCTCTCTGATGGGGGACCCAGCTTGGGGATTAGACCGCAGAGTTCTCAGTGGCAGCCCCCCACTGAGATATTGCTCTGGAACTACAGCTGCTTTCTGTGGGAGCCAGTCCAGCCTTTTCATGCCTCTGCCCTTCCTACCAGTCTCTATTTGGTCTCCGCTTTCTATCCTTGGTTCTCTCCAGCTGTCTTCAGTTGATTATTTGGGATTTTTTTTTGCATTTTAGTTGCAATTCCAATTTGGTCCTAGGACAGTGATGGCGAACCTATGACACGCCTGTCAGAGGTGACACGCGAACTCATTTTTTTGGCTTGATTTTTCTTTGTTAAATGGCATTTAAATATACAAAGTAAATATCAAAAATATAAATCTTTGTTTTACTATGGTTGCAAATATCAAAAAATTTCTATATGTGAAACGGCACCAGAGTTAAGTTTGGGTTTTTCAAAATGCTGACATGCCAAGCTCAAAAGGTTTGCCATTGGAGCATGTCTGTATAGCATCCACTTACTCTGCTGTCATTTTTAACCCCGGTGCCCTCTTGTGGACATGAGAACAGCATCCTAGTAAGGGATTAGTTTCAATGGTGCCCTCTTGTGGATATTCTGAGAACAGCACCGTAGGAAAGATTAGTTGCAATAATGCTCTCTTGTGGATGTTCTGAGAACAGCACCCTTGTAGAAGAAGAAAAAAACATTTATCAATCTGGGATGCCATATTTACAAGGTTCATATAGTTCTGCCATCACTAGGTCAGCCAGGAGGAAATACAATTCAATAAATAATAAGAAGAAAGACTAATGGCTGCTAAGATAGTAAAGAACAGGAACATCTAACCTATAAGATGCCTTGGAGGGGGTCATGGAAGCCTTCCTGGAGGAAGCAACATCTGAGCTGAGTCATAAGGGATTATGAGAGGGGGAATAGTATTTCAGACATGAGGAACAGTGTGTGGAAGCACAAGACAGACAAGAAGATCTCTAGGCTCTATTTCATCTCTAACATTATAAGGGTTTATATGCAGGCAAAAAGATAGCAGTGATGATGATGAAATGAAGTGTGAACTCGCAGGGGTGCGTACACATGTGTTATTCATGAAACTGCATTGAAATCTAACAGAAGCCTGGGAGGAGCTCGAGGTATGAGGACTATAACCCTGATTACTCCCCAGAACAGTTTAGAAAAACCCCAGATCTTCTGGCTATACAGCCCAGATCTGGGCTCAGGAGGAAAGGGACATCATGGACAGGACTCCACAGGAGCCACATGAGCTGAGGTCATGACCAAGGAGATCATAGGAACGCCTCTCCCAATGGACTATGAAGGAAGGTGTCCACTGGTGCCTTCTGTTGGCAGAGGTCCGATCTCCCTGCTGATAGTCACAGTGCACAGCAAAACTCAACTGAACTATGGATGCTTCTGCTCATTGCAGAATTTTTGAAATCTAGATTGGCATCTCAATTTTAAAAATATAACTCTTGCATAAGGAAACAGAGGTTAGGGTTGAATAGTGTTATAAAGAAGATATGGGAG